AAACACAAAGAAAACCCCTACCAAAAAAACAAAAAAAAAAAAAAAAAAAAAAAAAGAGACCACAGAAACTCCTGTGTGGGTCAGACACATCGGGAAATAAACTCACTGAATTATGAGCCGCCTCATTTGGCTGTTAACCTCTGTACTCTCAGGTGGTGCACTCTTAAGACACTGAAAAATACAGTGATTTGCCAGGCAGTGGTGGTGCATGCCTTTAATCCTGGTCCACAGAGTGAGTTCCAGAACAGCCAAGGCTACACTTGAAAAACCCATCTTGAAAAACTCAACAAATAAACAAATTTAGTGATTGGTTGCTGGATTAAAAAAAAAAAAAACATTAGAAACTAACACCATTACCTCTTAATGGTATGAATGGATTAGCTTCATTAGTATATTTGTAATTTGAGGCAAAAAATAATCGACATGAAACACTGACAGAAAACCCTGTACTTTTCCTCGGCGTGTGAGTGCATGCGTGCACACTTGGTTATGGTAGCTCAAGGCATTTCCCAATAACTCCCCATCTTTTCATGGAGGCAGGGCCTCTGCTTTGAACCTAGAGCTCCCAACGGCTAGTCTAGCTAGCAGCCTGCTCCCTGGATCTGCTGTCTTCACTGTCTGAACGCTGAGATTATAGGCAGGCTGCTATGTCTAATCCAACATTTATATAGGTGCTGGGGATCTCAACTCAGGTCTTTGTGCTTGCAGAACAAATGCTTTATCCACTGAACCATTTTCCAAGACCCCAAATTCTGTCCTTAAGTGCTTACAACAGATGAATTTATTATCCTCAAATACTAAAAACAAACCAAATAGCCTTCAACTGGATGAATAAATTGCTTTTCAATGGAAGTTTCTTATGCGTAGTTAGAGTTATCCATACGAAGGGACAAAGCACTAGCACACAAAACTACATGTGTGGATCTCAAAATGGTAACATGGAAAGAAGACCAATTTTCCTTTTCATAAATATGTAGTATACATGTGTATGCAGGCTCACACCTGAGTGCATGCACACGTGCAGATTGGTTGTCTTTGAATATATGTGCATGTGGAGGCCCAACATTAACATTAGGAATCTTCCCCAACTGCTCTTCACCTTATTCTTTGAGGCAGGGTCTCTCAACCAAACCCGGGGGCATTTTGACAGTTCTAGTCCAGCTAGTCAGCGTGTTCCTATCTTGCTCTAAGGAAGGATTCCGCCTCTGCCTTCCGAGGTTTGAATTACAGGTGGGATGCCACACCTACCTGGTATGTTCTGGGAGCTCCAGACATCTTAACTCCAATCCTCTCAATCACTGACCCGTGTCTCCATCCCCAAAGGCTACCTTTTATATGATCCTACTCATAATACATTTTGGAAATGGCAAGAACTATAAAGAGAAAATAGGTCAATACATGGCAGCTCATGCCTGTGAGGAAGCTGAGGCAGGCGGACTGTTTCTGAGGTTGAGGCTAGCCTGGGCTAGATAAGACCATGTTCAAGAAACAGTAGTAATTTCCAGGAAGTGAGGGTATAAAGAAGTTGACTAGGAAGATGGGAAAACTTGAGAGTTCTCTATTTTGACTGACAAGGGCAGCAACAAGGGGAGAGTTGTACTGATGGGCTGTAGAGAGGAGAGGCATTTCAAATCAGATGGCTCTGGAACTGGGGACTCTTGGCCTAGCTGGGTGACTTTTTTTTTTTTTTTCAGACAGGGCCTCACTATGTATCTAGAATTCACCACATAGATCAGGCTGGCCTCAAACTCAGAGAGATCCCCTTGTCTCTGCCTCTTGAGATTAAAAGTATGCACCCACCATGCCAGGCTCCGAGTGCAATGGGAACCAGTGCATACAGGCAAGGGGCCCAGTACTGTGCCCTCCGAAGCAGGTTGCTACCAGGCCAACAATACAGTCTAGCTTGAAGGAGCCTGGGCTATCATGCCTGACCCGAAGCTTACTGTTTGGTGGCAGCTTTTATACTTTGGTCAAGTTGCTTCTCGGTGATCCAGTCTCTTTATCAATACAAAAAGCTAACACTACCTAGTGTGCTGGGCTGCCATGAAAATTAAACAAGTCAGTAGATGTAAGAGTTTAGGATAGGGTATCACATGGCGTGAGATACAGATGTCTACTCCTAATGCTCTATCCTAGTGACAAGCAAAGCAAGGCTTGGGGAACTCCAGAGCTTTCTGCAAGGGCTCAGGGGATTAGGGTCACACAACAGGATTCAAGCTTGAGCACAGGATCCTGTTACACCTGACAGCAAATACCAGCCACTTCCTAGATGGTGCTTCCTAGCTGTGTCCTCACAGGACCTCTCGGGCCTTCTTTATAAGGGCACTAATCCTAAGATAAGGGCTTCCTTTGCCCTCACCTTTGCCAATATCCCCTTCTGAAAAACCATCAGTGTGGCAGGATGTCAGAAAACAGGTATCAGAGACACATGTATCCTGTAGTTGATGTGGGAGTGTCATATATCAATCTGTTGATTTCATTGGTTAAGTAATAAACACACTGCTTGGCCTCATAGGTTAAAGTATTGGTGGGAGGAGAAAACAGAATAGGATGCTGGGCGGAAGAGGAAGTGAGGTCAGACTCTGCTCTGCTCCCGGAGAGACTGCTCTCTGGAGCACAGACACCATGCTCCACTCTCCCAGGATGGACGAAGGCTAGAATCTTCCCGGTAAGCGCACCTTGGGGTGCTTACACGCATTATTAGAAATGGGCTAGTCCAGGTGCGAGAATTAGCCTGCAAGGGATAGAGTTCATGGGCCAAGCAGTTCTTAAATGAATACAGTTTGCGTGGTTATTTCGGGCGTGAGCTAGCCAAGCGGCCGGGGTGTTGGGGACGCAGCCCCGCCGTTCATATTTCAACATGTAGTGGTGGTGTTCTGGCCCTGAGTCTGGTACTCACAGGCTAGGCCAGATTGAGCTCGGCCTGGTACAGCCTGCAGTGTTTTGTAGCCATCTCTATCTTGGCTCTGGTTCTTTCCAATGTGGTTAATTTGGGTCTGGTTCCATCCTGGCCCCAGGGCCCTTCTGCCTCTTTCTACTAGAGGGAGGACCACACAGATGGGTCTGAGAAGTCGCTACCCACCCATTTATATGGGTGGCCAGGGTCCAGAAAGGGGCCTGTGTCTCCCTCCTGTAGGTATGTGGAAAATGGATTGGGAGGCATAGAACTGCCCTGTCTCCCAAAAAGCTCTGTGGTATGGGAACAAGTGTCTATATTCTGTCAATTATGTTTTAAATAAACACTGATTGGCCATTAGCCAGGCAGGAAGTATAGGCATGACAACCACATAGGAAGTAGAGGCAGGTCAATGAGAACAGGAGAATTCTGGGAAGAGGGAAGCTCCCTCTGCAGTCCTATCCAGACACAGAAGCAAGATGTGACTGAGCCATGCGGGGCTAACATATATATATATTGGACTAATATAAATTATAAGAGTTAACAAGAAGCCTGAGCTCATGGGCCAGTTTATAACTAATGTAGACCTCTGTGTGATTTCTTTGGGACTTAACGACTGTGGGAACCAGGCAGGACAGAAAACCTCAGACAACAGCTCTGGCAAGGTCTTGTGCAACAGAGCAAGGGGGAGAGTGCTTGACCTATGCAGCGACGACGGCGGTAAAATAGGCAGCTCAAAGAGCAGGTGTTACCCAGGGAGCCAGCCTGGCAGTCATCCTAACTGATCACCCTTTACAATGAGGCTCAGGTACTTGCCAGGGTCAAGGCATTGTCTGTCTGCAGTCCAGCTTGATCTCCTAATGGGAGAATGGAGAGGGGAGAAAGGACTCGGGATGCTTGGTACTGAAATTGGGGGGAAAACAGTGTAAGGACCAGAAGTGCTTTGCCTCATCTGCTTGTCTTAGTATCTGGAGACTTCCAGAATCATCTATGACCAGGGACATTCTTAGCCCAGGGCTGATTTGGCATCTTCCCAAGGGTACCCACTGGTTGTTCTATACTTGGGCTATTGGAGCCTAGTACACAGTAAGTACTCAATAAATGCCGGGTGTGTATATTTGTGAATAACTACTTCGTTGATAAATGAGTCCATCTCCTTTCCCAGCAGGAGAGGCAACCTGATTCATATGCCGTGCGTTTGTTGTGTCCATGAGCAAGTCTCACCTTCCTCTCATGTGGCCTGTTTACCCTTGAACCATGGGGTCCTTTACAAACCTTTTTTACCCATCCTTGTGAGTTACGAGCAGTCCCCTATAGGCTTGTCCCAATAGCCTGGTATAACCCAGCCACACGAGCTTCTTAGGGCAGGGTAGGCCAAGCCAAAGCTCATGGTCCCAAATAGCTGTCGTCAATCTGCAGAGTCCTTTGAAGACCAGTGCTTTTGCTCTGGCTGTAGCAGAACCCAACCCAACAAGTCACTGGACCATGTTTATATTACAGGAGCAGGGCTAGGCAGATAGAGTTTTCTTGTTAGCTCCCATGGAGCTCCTGCCCAGGTAGGGTTTGAGGCTCCCTACATTTTACCTAGAGTCAGCTTAGGGGCCCTAGTGCTCTTCAAGAGTAGTAACAAACAGCTCTGATCCAGTGCAGGGGCTATGGGAGGCCAAGGGGATCCCAACCTGGGAGCTAGGGAAAGGGCAGCCAAGGGTAGTGATGGGTCCTGGTCCTCAGCCTATGTGATCATAACCATGACAAGGACTTTCTATCTAGACTGGTCAGGGCTACCAAGTCCAGCTTTATTTCCTCAGTTGATCCCAATAGAAGACAGGGTTCTTGGAGGTTCTCTGTGCACCTAGCACCAGCTGGGAGGGGACCTGCACTGATCACATTACACCCAGAGAACAGTTATTGGGAGAAAACAAAACAGTGGCACACAAGGGTCAACACATAGTAGGTACACAGGTATGGGGAAGAGTGGCTGCTGGTCTTGTTCTATTAGGTCAGGGGAGAGAGTGGCACCAGAATGCCCTCCACACAGGTGCCCAAGGTGCCTCAAGTCCTCAGTCTCTGGTGGCAGGAACGCTGAGACGTGGCCCTGAGAAGGGGTCCTGTGTACTCGATCTTGCCCAGTTCCAGTTGGTGAGACCCAAGGGAGACAGGTCTCGTCTATCAGCTGTGTGAACATGAGGGTGGATGCAAAGCAAAGGGCCTGTCAAACGCACAAGATCAACTGTTTATTGATTTTTTGTTGTTGTTGTTCTAAAATACTATACATTTAAAGGAATTTCTAAAAGTTAAGGACTATAGCTTAGGAACAAGGATTTCTGCTGATAAGCTGTTATGACACACATCCACAGTGCAACAGGGCACTCACGGCAACACTGAAGACACACGTTGCTGACGTGCAACACTGCCCACTGTCTGAGCTAACAAAATAAAGGCCCTCCCTGAGCTTATCCCTGGGGCTCAGGACAGTCCCACTGGACTTGAGAATAAGGGTACCCACAGGGATGTGTGCTGGGGGTAGAACCCTCTAACTCTCCAGTGAGTGGCACAGGGACTGTGCAGCCTGTGACGACTGCAAAGACCTAGGAGCTGGAGCTCTGGCCAGGGAGAATTAAGTCTTCTCAGCAGCCTCCACTCAGAAGCCAGAGCCATATCTTAACTGAAAGGAGGCTGTTGGCCAGCCATGCCTGTGCCTCAATGTCATGGGCTTCAAGCAGTTGACAATACCTGCTGTCAGAAGCCACCAAATCTCATTTTAACAGTAGGTGAACTTTATAGATCCTCTGATATCAAATAATATACACAGATATACATCAAGACATGAGTCTAATGTAAAGCATCTTAATCTATAGATGCAGCTGCTCTGAAAAGTTAGTCTTCTTTTAACTTTCCAAATCACTAATAAACTGTTAACTTGAAAAACTGAAGCAAGAATACAGTGAAAGTAATTTCTAAATATGGTGATGCTGGGGAATGCTGCATAACACTACCCCTGGAACTGGCACTGCCACTGACCCCTGCTGCAGCAACCCCACATCTGGACAATGCAGAGAATTGAAGACACCTTACATGGAGAACATCTCACTCAGATCAATCTAGGCCATAATTTACGTGACTGGAAGAGCATATAAAAAGTATAACTGTACATTGCCTTTAAATTAAAACCTCAAACTCTTTACTCAGAAAATGGCGTTGAAGTCTGTTCACTGAACTTGCAGGTAGGGACTCATCAGAGAAAATAATCAGTGGAACAAGAATCAGTGTGATCCATCATTGACTCAAGAGAGGCAAGGGCAAGAAGGTGCAGATCCATGATTCAGAGAGCTGGTAGGGATAGGGAGGGGCTTGGCTTTTGCTGTTGGACCGTGTCTTCCTGTGCCTAGATCTGCCCAGATGTGCTTGGAAAGGGGCCAAGTCCCTAGTGAAATCACCAGCTCATCTGCCTTCAAACCACACCAGGAAGCCAAGAACAACAGAACCATCATCTTTTGCAGGTGGAGTGGATGCCTACATGGCTGCTGGGGGCACTAGAGGTATCACTGCACAGGTCAAGGCTAACGGAGCTCCTGAATTGCCCACTTCCGTCTCTCCGCCAGCCTGCCCATGTATGGCCTGTCACTGGATCGCCTCGACATAGTTGGCTGGGTATAGGCCAACCTGGCCACTGTCCAAGCGTCCCTTGCACCAACCCTGTTCATCTTCATCCTCTATCTTGGTCAGCTCATCTCCTGCAAGAAAAAAAGAGGGTAGCCTTAGTGACAGGGTGGGTGACACTGACCACAGAAAGTCACCTATGCATCCTAATCCTGTGTGGATATAGAACATGCTTCTACAAGAATCCTCAGAGGTTCTCCAGGGTAGAGGGTCAGGGAGCCGCCTGAAGGTGGGACAAGACCATGGATATTTCACTACTAAACTGTACTTGTTGCTTTTGTTCCAGAGACCACTGTGATCTGAAAATAGCAGCTCTCAAAGTAATCCTGGAGCAACTAGCGGTCCAGGTGGCAATAGCACCAGCCTTGCACCTTTCCTGTGTGCTCCAGGCTGCCTTGCTTAGCAACATGTCCCCATGTTTTCATTTTGTGTGGTGGTTCAAGGTATCCTCTGGCCCTTTGAGGTTCTGCTTCCTGAGCTACTGCTGGCCTGGCAGAGTCCTGGATCTTCTCCCTAGATACTTCCATCCGCAGATGAAAAGACCACCGAGGCCTGAGTGCTAACACACAAGGTGCCCAGAATGCAGAAAGCATGAGTGAAGGGAAAACTGTCTTGGCTCACAGTGAGGATACAGGCAAGGGGCTAAAAAGATTAGCACAGCAAAGTCTACAGTAGCCAAGAGGATAGATGGGAGGACTAGTAGGGAGCATGAGATACCCAAGCTACACGGCTAAGAGGAGGGACAGAGTTCTGGGTCAGGGATGGCATTCTGACTAGCCCCTAAAGGCTTTAAAGGACACACTTAAGTCACTATTGTCCTTTCTTATAATCTTGCTTCTAATGACAGGCCAAATTGCAAGCATGGCTTCTTGCAAGAAGATTCTGCCTAGAAAACCAGAGACAACGAGGTAACAATAAGGTAAGTATCCAAGAGGGACTGTAGCTATAGTTTGGTGGCTTTGATAGTTAACCCTCTGCCATGGCAAAGAGACAAGTTAACCACATAAACATCAAAACACAGAGATCTTAATATAATTAACAGCACACAGATACCTATAAAAAATAGCAGACAGTGAAGGGCAATGGCTAACCAAGCACAAGTCAGACAGCCTTCAACTGGCCCCAACATGAACAACACACTATCATCTCCCTGTTGGGACAAGGGATGTGTGAAGACCTGGCAGGGGGAAGGTACTGTAGTTAAGACCCACACATGAGAAGAAAAGACACCCAGGGTGGGTACCTGGGAAGGTCACCTACCAGCCTTGAAGCTCAGCTCATCGTGTTCCTGCCCCTCATAGTCATAGAGGGCCCGAACTCGCACTTCTGTTCCTGAGGTAGTATCCTCGTCAAATGGGTTAGAGTCCCCGTTGGCATCCGTGGACGAGAAAGGGTTGTTGGACTCATCGTCAGACCAGTCAGTAGGGTAATTCTGAGTCTTCTCATAGCTGCTGACACTGCAACAGAGAGCACACGAGGCTCTCAGCACGCACGGGACTGAGGGAGGACATGAGGTCCCCACCCACAATTCCTGCCCCAATGGCAGGTACAGCCAGGCCCCTGAGCCTTCATGCCATCCACACTCATCCTGGGCCCTAGAGAAGCTGGGGAGCTGCCAAAACCCCAGAGTAATGCCTGCAGGTAGACCTCGACCCCCTTCAGCAGGTTCCCCGGCTTAGATTGCCTGTCTGTCTTCCTGTAGTAGTGCTGCTCAGGCCTTAAAGGGTTAACAAAGGACAGAGGAAAAGCAACCAAAGAGTGTTAGCTGTGCCCTCCCAGAGAGGTGGAGAGGCCTGACTGTCCCAGCAGGTCTGGAATGCACAGGGCAGGTGCCCAGGTCCTGCAGGACTCATGCATTGCTGAAGTGCTGAGGGGTGAGACCCCAAGAGACCCCTGGATAGAAGAGAAAGGAGACACACAGAAAGCGAGGTGGAAGTCAGAGCGAAGTGTGTGTTCACCAACTTTTTGGCCTTAATGTCCTCCTTCTCACTGACGGTGCTGCCCGTGTCGTCCTCATCCTCGAAGGGGTTGTAGCTGGGCTGTAACTGCGTGGACTGGGCAGGGTTGCTCGGGACACTAAGGTTGCTATGGGGGAGAAAGAGAGCTTTCAGGGATCACAGTGTGGGGCCCACTGGGGGCCCTGGTGACTCCAGCTGCAGAAGATAGTGACAGTCTCTCTAGAGTTATAGCAGCTCCTCCCTCATCTGATAAGGAGGGTGCTGTGTGACTAACAGATTATTTTAGTAGGATATGTGGCTATATTTTGATGTGTCACTATACTGCGATCATCTATAAGTCTACCACAGGTGCACAAGTACTTCCGGGCTCAGGGTTTCTCCAAGTCTCCTATCCCCTTATTCCCACATAGGGCTTAGTCAGTAGGAAAAATTGATGGAGGAGCTCCTAGGAAGCAGTAGCCCTAGAAGGACTGTATTCATGGGGTAGCGGCCCCCCAGCTCTCCAGCGCTTCTTTTAACTACTAACTAGGCCAATGGCAGCTCCCTGGTGCTGGAGTTTCCACAGTCAGCACTAAACTTTTTTGCACACAAGGCCCTCTAGTGCTCTGGTGTCAAACGTTCCTTGAAACTTTGCCAACTATCTCCCAGCTTAGTGTTAACCAGAGAGACACTAGATGCTAGGGAGCGGGCTGTTGGGGCTGCAGAGTGTAGAGAACTATCAGGGAGACATTACAAGAAAAACGTATAGAGTCACCCTGGGCTGATGTACTGGCTCCCTCAGCTACAACTGCCACCCACACCAGTGGCCAGGGCTTTGGGCAGCATTAAAACTGAGCAGCTACCACACCAGAGCCACCACGGGACAGTGGAAAACCCCTCAGATACCAGAGTGACCTTGGCTGGCAGTGTGCTGGATACCACCTGACCCCTCTGCCCTCCTGGGCTCCTCGATCTAGCTGACTTTTCTGAGGGACTTGGTGCTGTGCACTAACTAGTGCATTCTCCACAGGATCTCCTCTGAGTCCCAGTTCCTTCCTTCCTACCCCTAGCACTGAGCACACTGAAGAAAATGGTTTGGTTCTGAGGCTGAGCCCTCAAGATAGAGCTCTCACAGACTCCAAACACAGCAGCTGAGCAGGGCCAGCCATGTGTGACTGGGGAGCTTGGGAGGGTAGTGTGCTTAGTGCCTTAGTTATACCCCAAGCCTATTAACTAAAACCTGAGCTATGGTGACGATTACCTAAGCACAGAACAGAGGCCTCTAGCCAAGTTCTACAGCACATACTCTGCAGAATGTTCTAACAACAACAGTTGGTACTCCTCCAATCCACAAGTCTTTTTAGACAATGAAGTCAGAGATTTCTGTCTTGAGGACAAGGGAGTGTTCTGTTCATGGTGCTGGAACTGAACCCAGGCCCTTTGCTTGCCTGACAAATGACCTGCAGCTGAGTTACACCTCAAGCCTATTCAGAAATAACTATCACTATGTAAGGGGACATGTGAGCACTTCCCATTGTCCTGCATCTACTGGCACCTGAATACAGCAGTCCAAACAGGATGAAGCTACTGGCATCGTGTCTCTATCTGCTGTTTCCATCCAGGGCTGCACCATGGACATGAAAACAAGCAGTTAACACTGGCATCTCCCTTACCAGGACAGGCACAATGAGCAAAAGGCATTCTCTAGATCTTTCAGGAATTCCAGCAGCGAGCAGAAAGAGAATCGAGAGATGCTTCACCCAGAGCTCAGAGTTCCCAGAATATTTGTTCTTGGGGTCTCCGTCACATGTGGAATCATCCAAGTGTTCAAGCTGGTGGCATCCCAGGACCAGCAGATCTCAGATAGTCAGTTTTGGACTGGAGCTGTGCCTGACACTCACCTTTCAGGCTTGTTCTGCCCAGACTGGTCCCCTGTCTGGTTGATTCCCATTAGGGTGACACCATCAGCAGCCTTCTTCTTCTCTCTCCGGCTGAGAGTTCGATTCAGATCTGCAGACCACTCCTAGGCAAGCAGCAGGCCACGGGAAAGAAATGGGAGGCTCATTTCTGGGAAAGCATAGTGGTCCAAAATATCTGCTCAACCAGCAGCTGCCCACCTTGAGCTATTAGTAACATTCAGTCTTGTGACCTCTGCTCTCCTGTTTCCCAGCAAACCTAAAACTGCCTCTTGGGCCTAAAGGCTATGAAAGTCACTACCCATTTAACCACAGGACCCTGACAGGAAATAACACTTTATAGGACATGACAGTGACAACAGAACCAGGTCGGAGGCTAGGGAGGTAGTTCAGTAGTAGAGTGCCTGCCTAGCATACAGGTAGTCTGTATAGTCATGGATTCTATCTATCCCTAGCAACATACACACACACACACACACACACACACACACACACACACACACACACACACACCACTGAAACACGCAACCATGGCTGATAATGCTTACTGTCCTGAAGAGCCTTCTAATCCATTCCCTACTCACCACGGCTCTTAGGAGCTATCACCCCACCATGCCATGGGCTCTGGGGGACTTGAGCCTCTCATGTAGGCAAGCCAAGCCGGTGGGAAGCCTGAATGAGGTACACAGCTTAGTCTTTGAGAATCAAGGATCTTTTCCATTTATGCTCTAAACTCTAGGTCACAGGATTGTCAGCTCTCTGAAGGGTCCTGAGAATGCCTGCCACATAGGAAAACTGAAGCCAGAACTACAAATAAAATCAGAGGCTAGGTGGCTATGGCATAGCAAATGAGACACGACAGGTGGGCACTGAATGCTCAGTCTCCAAAGGGGACCTTTAATCATGTTTGATCAGAGTGGCATGCTGGCAGCTAGCAGAGAAACAGAGGGTTTGTGTCCCCACAGGTTTCCTGTTTTCCTAACAAGGGACTTTCACCAACTGTTGAAAAATATAAGTGAAAAGGGGGCTAGGTCTTGATTTTCCAGAAAAATCCTGTGGATTTATGCACTTAATGATTTCTCCTTACCTCCCATCTCCATTTATCAAACAAATGTGATTATAACCCCGTGAGATGGCTGATCAGGTCAAACAGAAAAGTATTTGCCTTGAAAGAGTGACAGCTCAATTTCTATTTCCAGAATCCATGTAAAGATAGAAGGGGGAAAACCAACTCTACAAAGTTAACTTGTGGCATTCTGGTGTCCCCCCGCCCCGAATCCCCCCACCCCGCCACCACACACACACTTTAAATTTAAAATTTTAAATCCAATTTGCCTTAGTGTACAGCTTTGTTCCATCTTACAAATTATCAAGGTCACAGGGCATTTTAGCTACATTAAACCAACCTTTTGATTTGTCAGGTGGGAAAATAGAGAGATCAAGAGAGATTAAGGTCCATAAAGAGTGGCTCATAGCCTTGGGCCACTGACCTCAATCCAAGTCACCTCATCTATTTATTAATGGGTGTACTGACAGAAATAGTGGGATAAGAACTCAGGAATCTCAAGTTCTCCAAGTGACCTCTGAATATGAGTGGACTCTAACAAGGCAGCTCTTGGGGACTGGTGGGACCAGTGCCAGAACCTTTGGAAGAAAGGACTAATGCCATCCTCTCTGCCCATAGAACTGGGGCCTCTACGGACAAGCAATTAAGTGGGCTGACTACATGCAGCAGGGAGCTTGGCAATCTATAAGTTAATCATAAAACAGAAACTTACTTCATCCTTGTGGCATGAAAAACGAAAACAACTTCATTAGAGAAAGTCAGAGACAACCCGGCAACAACTATCAACGTGAACACAAGGAACACAGGAGGGTTGGTTCCCCAGCCAGGGACCACAGAGTGGTCCACAGACTCTAGCCAGGGTACTCTCTCCAGGAGGACAATTAGCCCCATCTTCCTCACTGCTGCCCTCTTTGAAATAGTAGCCACCTTGGAAGGAGCAGGAAAGTATCACATACAACAGTGTCCTGCGCCACTCTACAGCAACAAGCAGACTGAAGCTGAGTACGAGCTATGCCTCAGGTACCACTCAGCATACTTCTTCCCAGAGCTGTGCCACTAGAAGAGCTGTTTCCTCTATGGCCACGCCTACTAGAAAAGGTCGTGGACTCTAGTGTCTCCTAGGGACCCTTACGGTCTGCAGCCTCTTGTCCAGTAGACAGATGCAGGGGACACAATTTGGAGAAATCATATGAATTTCTAAAAAATGTTAGTGTGGGGGTGAGGACAAATACTGGTCAAAAAGGGCTGAGGAACTTGCAGGGAGCCTAGGTCTATGTGATAATCCAACACAGATCAGGTTATGACTTTCAATAACCCCAGGTTGCTATTCATACTTTAACATGGAAAAACTAAGCCACACAAAGGGGTAGTTGCTTGCCCAAGTCCCACTGCTGCTAAGGGGTAAGGACAGATGCAGTCTGGGCTCTGGCTACTATCAGGCCAGAGAAGCCATAGCCACCCTAGAGGCACGTGCCCAGCGTGGAAGACTCCTACCAGCAGTTGCAAGGTCAGGGCTCACACCACACCAAGAGAATGAGGAGAGAATGCCTTCCTTCAGAGAACATGGCTGGAGGGGCTTCTGGCCACTTTTACACAGCTGTCAGGGAGCTGGGTGGGCCTGGTGATCAAACCCTAGCCTAAAGATACATAGACCTTTGGATTTTGTAACATAAAGATACTGCAGCACTAAGGCCCACAAAATGGGAGAATAGGCAAACTAACTTTGAGACAAGCTTCGTGGATTTACAACCTAAGGCAGGAAAAAGCCACCAAAAAATAGACAAGGTGAAAACCTCAGGGATATTGGCAGCACCTGTGGCCCAACATTTGGCCTGAGGGACAGACTGGGCACTTCAGTTCCTGGATACCTTGGCTGGGGGGTAAACACAAGTTTTTGCCTGGGACTAAAAGGGACGCCAATGGTGAGTGAGAGCAGCTGAGGACTTCAGATACAGCACTGGGACATTAGACACTGCTCCAGTCATGACTACTGCATAGACAAAGTAGGAAGTGAGAGCAACATTCAAAGCTTAACTACAGGGGTAGCGGTCACTTCCCAGGTGGGCAGAGTTACAGGCATACAAAACCTCCTTACCTCAAACTGTGGCCAGTTCATGGCCATGCCTGGCCCATGGTTGGCTCGGAACCACCTAAGGTCCTCTACGGCATCAGCTGCTTTGATGTTCTGTTCCAGCTCTCGGTAAATGGTTTTGTAGCTAAATCAGAGACAGAAAGGCAGCTCTACAAAAGGCAGGGCCCAGCCATCATTCTCACAGCCACAGCAGGTCCTGTAGCCTGCATGATGGTCTCTGCAGTCTGCACAAATCTGTTTCCCAGACACAGGAATGCCATTTCCGAGCCGTCACATGTACAGATGCAGACACCATCCTCCAGAACCTGGGACCCACCAACAAGTAAGTTTCACACCAAACCAGGTGGCACACTGAGACTTGCCCTGCGTCGGATCCTGGGAGTGCTATGTGGGTAGCAACTGTGCAGTCCCCCTGGCTCAGGTCATGTTGAGATAGAAGCCATTAGAGGAGAATGTCAGAATGTCCCCTCCTCCATTGCTCTCAGGAGAGCTGGAGGTTCCCTCCCCAAGTGAAAGGTAGTATGGGAGGAGGGCAGAACTACAAGGCCTAGTCCTGCCTCCTGTTTCAATAACTTGGTCTTGGCTGTACCTGATAGGTCACTTACTATCTACATAGGCAGGTCTTTACTTTTTCTGAGCCTCAATTTCCTTCAGTGCTGAATATCTAGGGATTGAATTGCATTCTTCAAAAACAATGACTGAAGTCTTAACCTTGGGGGTGACCTTTGCTGAAAACAGGGTCTTTTAGAGGTGAACAACTTAAAGCAGGTTCAGTAAAGTGGCCCCTTTATAAGGACAGCAGCCCTTATAAAGGAGGAGAAATCTATACTGCATAGTCAGGGAAAGATGGCCAGAGAACTGGAGAGAAGTGGGCAGCTGTCTAGAAAGCTGAGGACTGTGGCAGACCCCACAAGCTAGAAGAGGCACTTCTAGCCTTCAGGGGGAGTGTGGCCACACCTTGGTTTTTCACTTGTGTCTTCTAGAACTGAGTGGCGAGCTTCCCTTGTTTTCTGCCATGCAGCCCAGATTCTGTTACAGCAGCCCTAGGAGTGACTACATCGTGTATCATCCCTCTCCCTGTGGCTTGGAATAGAGAGACAGGCTGTGCTGATTCAGGCCTTTGCCACAGCCAAGTACAAACACAGTGGAAGGTACCTCACACACAGAAGAGCAGGATACAGTCCCAGCCCTGTCTCTTTTCCTGTCCCCTAAAAACTGTGTAGCAGCTCAGTTTCCTCATCAGCTCAGTTCTGCCTACTTTCTAGGATGTCACAGAGATGAAACAACAGCAGAGCAGCCATGACTATTCACCATCTTTTTAGAAGAGACAAAGGGGATGTCACTTTCTGCTGACAACAAGCTTTAACTTGACATTCATTTCTCAATGATTCTGCCAGATGGATGAAGGAAGTAGATTTCTATCCCATCATCTGTCCTGCTTTCTGGGTCTCTCCTGATGCAGGCACACCATGTCATAAGTCAAACTGGAGTGTCTTTCTGTTCTGGCCTCCCCAGGACCTACAGTCACCAAGATGTCAATGGTCCAGCTGGCAGCAGGGATGAGAAAACGTCTACAAGGGACTGTCCTGGGGGCAGAAGACTTGAGGCCTGGCCAATGCTGCACCAGCCCAAGTGGATTTTCAGAATGCTGGTCCTGGCTGTGGCACCGGAACAGTTTCCCTTGCTGCCCAGACCCATTTTGAGCTGGCAACATCAAGCCCAACATGCCTGCCCTGCTTAAGCCTTCTGTGGCTGGATGTTGGCTCTGCAAATAGGTCCTCTGAGCATTCAGAAAGTTGTGTGAAAAGCCCTCAGGGTGATTGTCCCAACCCCCAAGGCTGCCATGCAACACCTTAGTCTATTCAATACCAGCCTTCCCGTGTCTCACATGGATGGAAATTTTTTTTTCTCTCTCTCTCTTTTTTTTTTTGTCTCAGGGAAACTTACCTAGCCACATTGGACAGGTCCAGGTGCTTCTGAACCTCCAGTAGAACCTCCCGGAAGAAGCGCAGGCGCTTCTCTTCAAACTGCTGGCACTGCTCGAACACTTGCTCCATGTTCTCCATGTACTGAGGTGTGGTCTGATCAAGCTCCTTCAGGGCCTTCTCATACTTGTCCTTGGTCTATGTTGAAATTGGCATAGACAGAGGTTTGCTTCCATCCCACCTCTATTTAACCACGATGCCCCGTTGCTTCTCAGGCCTCCCAGATTCCAAATGTGGAAGCCGGAGTTCTGAGCCTAGCATTCTCCATCCGGGAACTCCCTGTTATTCTCCATGGCTAGTCACTCTCTCTAAGCCTGCTCTGCCTCTCACTGGAGCCAAGTCCAAACAGGTAGATATGGGCGAGAGATGGTCAAACCAACATTCAGACGGGATACTGACTGGCTTATAAGGGCTCTAACTTCATCAAAAACTTCACAGCTGAATGGATTATTGGGAGACAGGGCCCAGTTTGAAGAAGTAAGTCTCAGAGACCATGTCTCTGATGGATCTGTCTTGTCTCTCGATCCTTCCTATCTGTGCTGTTTCTGTCTGCCAGAGGTAAGCAGCCTTCTCTACCACATGCTCCCACTGTCATGGTGCTTTTATTTGCCCCTAGAAAGTACAGAACAACAGAGCCAGGTGGACCTTCCTAAAGCCTCTGAGACTGAACAAACACAAACTGTTCCTCCTTCAAGTTGTTTCTCATGTATTACACAGAGTGACAATAACTGACTACCTGAGTGGTCAGGTGCCCGTGTGTGCTGCTGACAGGTACCTTCCAGGATGAAGCGAGGGACTAGAGTCTAATCACTGATTTGTCACAAGGTTTTACATCAAGAGGCTATGAGAGCTGAAGACAGTTATTGGTCTGCCTGAAACTACTTTTGCTCTACACAAATGCGTGCACACTTTCAGGTAAGCACCCAGGTCACTGGAACAACTTTCCCTGTCTTCTTACATTGGGCAACAAATCTACGCCATCTACCCCAGGACTCAGACACCCCTTTCTGTACATCCTAAAGAGACTACTCTTCTGGGAACTTTTACTGACTTCCTAAGGCAGGTTCCACACACATTTGGGCCCCATTCCCATTTCTGCCCATCTCTTGGCATCTGGTTCCTTGCTCTTTTATGAACTTAAAAATGGTCAAGCTGGGTCCTCTATAAAGAAAGGAAAGGTCACTTATGCAAGAACATAGTTCCACAGACCCTCTGGCTACAGCCTGACAATTTTAGCCCTATCCTGTGCTCTAAACTGGAAGCACTGTGTAGGAGCCCTGGATCATAAACCCTCACTCAGTACTGAGGAGCACAAAGCTTCTAGAAGCCTTTGGAGAACCACAGACATTCCTCTTACTGCATTCCCCCTTCCCACTTGATTATTCTGAGGCTATGTCCTGTCCACAACATTAAGCAGGGACCAAGCAGGGTCATCACTATTGAGAAAATCCACTAGCAGAGATGTACAAAGTTCTCAATGGCCCCTCAGAAATGCTGTACTCCTGGTGTGATCCTCCTCTCTGACGAACAGAACACTGCAAGATACATTTCCTGCCTAGCCAGGAAGGAAGTCTGTGAGCAACAGCTGTTGTTAGCTGGCATCCCCTCCAGCATTCTAGGGCTACGCGGATCACTCAGGCTCTGAGACCACCTAGGGAGAGTGAATTCCAAAAGGGAAATCACTACAAGTGTCTGTCTCCTTAATGACACTTTCTAAGTTAGACCTCTCATACTCTAGGTCTGTTCTGAGAAAGCATCGTACTGAGCAGCACCTATCTCTGTATGGTGAAAAACAACAAGGCTTCTCTCCTTCCTTTACACAGAAAGACAGACATGCACACATGCACGCATGTGCTTTACTTTCCTTCTAAACACCTTCCTAGGCAGCAGATTCCCTGTGATCCTAACAAGGGCGTTAAGCATTCCCCGGGCCTTATGTTTCTTAAGCTCAAGTACCCACTCCATGGAGGTGCAGATCTCTCACCTGAGGCTGTTCCAAAAGTTCCTCAGTTCCTGACCCCCAGTGGGCTGTGGGCTACTTGAGTCACAGACCCTTATGGAGATGACATTTCTCCTTGCTAGGAGTAAAGGTTTTGAAAACAGTAGTGCAGGCTCTGGAGTCAGAATCCCTGCTCTCACATTAGAGAGCAGTATAGTGTTTGTCCTCGTTGATCTTGGCTCCTTATTCACAAAGCAGGAATGCCATCACACAATCCAAAGGGATGCCAAGCCTTATCAGGTACGGCAAGGGTATCAGGTAGGTAATCTGCTCAGCACTCTCACCTGCCAACTGTTGAGACAAAGCCTGCTGTGAACCCCCTCATCTGCTCCTATAAACTCAGGCAGGAACATGGGCCTGTGCCATCACTTTTAGAGCAGTGGCCAAGGGGATTTTAGAAGTCCAGCCCCCAGGAACTTCTCAAAGACAAGATGCCAGCTGGTATTTAATTCCTGTGACTCGGGGATCTTCGAAGTAAAAGCTCTCTCTGTACTACTGAGGCACATTAGATTAGAAAGTGCTCTGACAAACTCATGTCCATGTGACCTTCACATTGACCCACTGAGATAGGACCGCCTCACAGCAGAAGAGGAGGGCTACCAGGCACGACACTGGATATTAAGACGTATGTTCTCACTCTTCTTAGCTAAAAGACCTAGCTCCTGTAACCTCTGCTATTGAGGCTTGCTATTGGTGTGGTCACAGGACAACTGCCTCTCTCTAATGTCTACCTGATGTGGGAAGGTCATTTGTCTATCTGTTGATTTCATTGGTTAATAAAGAAACTGCCTTGGCCCTTTAATAGGACAGAAAATTAGGTAGGCTGAGTAAATAGAACAGAATGTTGGGAAGAAGGGAAGTTAGGCAGACGCCATGCCTCTCCTCTCCAGGGCAGATGCCATGGAGCCAGCCGCCAGGTCAGACATGCTGATTCTTTCCTGGTAAGCCACCACCTCGTGGTGCTACACAGATTATTAGAAATGGGTTAATCAAGATGCGAGAGTTAGACAGTAAGAGGCTAGAAACTAATGGGCCAGGCAGTGTTTAAATGAATACAGTTTGTGTGTTATTATTTCGGGGCATAAGCTAGCCAGGCAGGCGGGAGCCGGGTGGCAGGAACAAAGCCGCTGCTTCTTCTACGTCTACCTTCCTTATGAATTCCCAGACATACCCTCCTTCCAACCTGCATCTAATCCTCAGATCTCTGCAGCCTTCCCTTCACATCTCGAACCTAGTCTGACCAGCTTTCAGCCACACTCTTCCCTTTTCCTTGGCTCCAGATCTTCCTCAGTATATGCAAAGCTCCTAGATCTGCCTGGTTATAAAGAGCAATGGTCATTCTGTGCTCTAGCCCTGGTTATGTGCTCATCCTCATTTCTGTACCCTGAACAAGCTGCTCTTCCCTCTATCATCCCAGCTGTTCTCAAATGTATCTCCTGGGAAGCCACCTAAACTAACTTGTTCCCCTGAACACAAAGACCACACTCTCCCACCTGTCTGGCACTTGGCTCTGTCCTTAGCTGAGGCAGATGCAATGCCTATGCTAAGATGAGGCTCAAGTGCTCATCTCTAAGGACACGAGGACAAGGATGCTTTACTGTCATTTATGCTCATCTAGCCACCAAATCAAACAGTTCTAAAAGGCTCAACTATGTGCAACATGGGAGAATAAGCGACACTGACATCAACAAGACAAAGCGAGGGTGGGGTTTACCTTCAGGACATCCTGCTTGCATTTTTCTATCTTGTCTTGCAGTTTCTTGAGCTGTTCGGGATTGAGAGATGGATCTGCTTTGCTGTTGGCTTCTCGAGAGATGGCCAGTTTCTCCTCTTTGCATGCTGTGTGGTGGGCTTTCTTTGCTGCTTCTACCTACAGGGAAAGTAAGTTCTGAATGCAACACTGTTGCAAGTTCAGGTCATCAAAGACTGCACAAGCTATAGAGCTGCATGTGCTTTAGGAAAAGAGAGAAAGGCAGGGACAAAGTGTGCTTTGTCACAATAACAACTGGATGGAACAAAAGGCCTCACTCTGCAAATATTTATCCATATGTGGTTCTAGGTACTGGGGACACAGGACAGAAGTTGACCCATGACTTAATTTGGAGATTTAAATTAGGTGGCCAAATGCAGGCATAATTAAATGTTGGGGTAAGTTAGAAGGATATTATGGATGAAAATCAAGCAGGAGGGAGATACTGGGAACAACAGAAGTGTAGGGACAGAATTCTATAGAGAACAGTAGGAAAAAGGCCTGAGATTGTTTGGAGTAAAAGGAAGAGGTGTGGATACCCAAAAAAGCACATGTCAGGACGGCCAACAGAAGGAAGTTCCAAAGGAACCCTTGCCTAGCGTGGTGGAGCATGCCTTTAATATCCAGGCAGATTTCTGTGAGTTCCAGATCAGTCTGATCTACATAGTGAGCCTAGGCCAGTCAGTTAGACCCTGTCAAAAAGGAGACCCTCGGTGGGAGGGGGAGAGAGAGAGAGAACACACTCTCAAGAGAGCCCTCACATGAATAAAATGGCTTAAAATGGACTGGCAGGAATGGGTCACAATTTCCAAAGATTCTTCTTTTGTTTTTGTGTTTTGTAGTTGTTTGGGCTTTTCTTTTGAGAAAAGGGTCATGATACAGTGTCCATCCTGATCTCAAGGTCATGAGCTTAGAGCAGTAGCAGTGGTTCTCAACCTTCCTAATGCTGGGACCCTTTACTATAGTTTCTCACATTGTGATGACTGCAAATCATAAAATTATTTTTGTTAGGATTGAGCCAGCGACCTGACGCAGAGTCAGCCATCTCCACCGTTCAGAACCGGAGTGGAACAGAACCAGCTACCTAGGACAGAGAGCAAACAAGCTCCATCGGGAGCAGAAGCCAAGAGCAAATCCAGTTCTGGGAGCCAACCCAGTCCAGGGACACTGGCGGATCAGGACTGAGCCAAAGAAAAGATCCAGAGTCAGCGATCTCCACCCGAACAGGTACAGGAGAGTAACTGCTGAGCGAGTGAGCCAGAGACTTCTGAGGGTCCAGGCGTGAGTCTAGGACCTCACAGGAACTAGGCCTGAGCCAGGACCTCTGCCAGTCTGGGTATGAGTGAACCTGGGATCTCCAACAAAATAGGTAGGAACCAGACATCTTGGTGGGGCCAGGTGTTGAGTCTGGGTCCTTAGAGGGAGTAGGCCTGAGCAGTACCTCTGTGGGTCTGGGCATTGGTCTAAGACATCAAAGGGAATAGGCAGGAACCTGGAACCTCAGGGATCCCAGCACGAGTCTAGGACCTCTAAGGGAGTAAGCAGGTCCTCTGCGAGTCAGGGCGCACCTAAGCCTGGGACCTCAGAGGCCAGAAACCTTTCCAGGTCCAACTCCAACCCAGGGACTTCTGCAGGAGGGAATCCAGATGAAGACTTACAGATACAAGTCAAAGCCTGTAACCTAAGCCACATTTGCCACAAAGCAAGGAACTCTACCTTGGGAAACAAATTCCACAGGAGTGGCTCTGAATGAGCTACGTAGGACAGAGAGGGCCTGAGGAAACAAGCTCCATTGGGAGCAGAAGCTAGGAGCAAATCCGGTCCCGGAAATCAACCCAGTCCCGGGACACTGGTGAACAAGAAGAAGTCAAACTCTCACTGTTTGCTGATGATGTTTACATAAGTGATCCCAAAAATTCTACCAAGGAACTTATACAACTCATAAACACTTTCAGCAGTGTAGCAGGATACAAGATTAACTCAAAAAAAAAAAAAAATCAGTAGCCTTCCTGTACACAGATGATAAAAGGGCTGGGAAAAAAAATCAGAGAATCAACACCCTTCACAATAGCCGCAAATAGCATAAAATATCTCAGAGCAACTCTAACCAAACAAGTGGAAGACTTGTATGACAAAAACTTTAAATCTTGGGCTGGAGAGATGGCTCAGAGGTTAAGAGCACTGACTTTCCTTCCAGAGGTCCTGAGTTCAATTCCCAGCAACCACATGGTGGCTCACAACCATCTGTAATGAGATCTGGTGCCCTCTTCTGGCATGTAGGCACACATGCAGACAGAACATTGTATACATAATAAATAAATCTTT